AACTATACGTTGTATTCGGGATTCTCGTATACAAGGTATATTCGTTATAAGTCAGGTAACACAGTAGAAATTATGAGATCCACCTCCTGGCTGGAATTCAGACATTAGAAGAACGGAGAGTATTTATCCTGGAAAGGTTCAGAGACACCTGTCTGAGATCAAATCATCAGATCATACGTGATCTAGCACGTTAGGTAAAGTTATACTTGTAGTAGGTAGGTTTTTACTTTTTTCAATTCAAACAAAACACACCCAAAGGGGTATTCTGTAAACTAGTTGAAAAACGCAAATATTAAATTTGAATATCAAATTAAACAAAGGTGAAGATCCAGGTAGGCTAATCAATTAAAATGTTAAATCAATGTTCTATCATAATCAACATAAATAAACACAATTTTACGACTAGTTTTCTTCGTCATTTGCTTTTGAGCAACGGACGGATAAGCGTCGGATACGACGTATGAGTGGAACAGCACGCATCACACCAATACGAAGACGACGCAGTGTTGCCACATTATTTCCATTTTCAATCTGTATTTTCACCGTAAACATCTTTTGCATCTGTTTCTGGCTGACAAAAATATGTAAAATATGTATGTATGATCTTATTGCGGATCGTGGTAAATATACTTTGAGTTCATTGAAAATGCAGAAATAGTTCGTTCATAGTTTAGAATCTTGAAGAATGACTTAAGTTTGCTTTCTAAAGATTTAATCTAATTAAAAGACCTCGAAATCCTGAATCTAGATTTTTTTGAGGGATTTGTACCTTTTTAAAAGTCTAAAAATACAAAAAATCAATCACATTTTCGTAAAACATTTGTATCCGACATTACGAAAATCTTTGTCAGGTAATCCCGTAAAAAAAAATCCAATAAAAATACAATGATTTTCATTGTCATTGTAACAATGATATTTACTGTCAAAATATTGGACATTTTTGTCAATTACCATAAAATCACAACGAAATTCATGGTTCATAACAATGAAAAACATGGTATTTGAGAAATTTACAGTAAAAAAGGGGGGTTGTTAAGCATCTTAACAATAAAAAAAAGTGATTTTTTTGGAACAAATTTGATCTCTTTACACTAATTTTCATTGTTTGAGCATTGTATCGTTAAAAATCGAAATTTTTTTTTCCCGTACAATAATTTAACAATAAATTTTAATGTACACGAAATTCAACAGTAAAAATCATTGTAATTTCGTTGTTATATTATAATTATTTTTTTTCGGGATTTTTTACTCAACAATTTTAGAAAATGAAAAATAAGCATCAACATTTTATGAAGTATTAGTTGTAAAATGTTATGCTCGATGTTTCAAATTCAAATGTTTCTCAAATTCTCCTTATCAAAACAAGTTTCAACTTTATCTAATCATTTGGCAGATTAAAAGAATATTGAAATCGCTAGTTATTGCTCGAACTTATATACCTAAGTGTACTCAGCATTTTTTGTTTAAAAAGTTTGGGATGGTTTCATCTGTATTTCTCTATCAACTTTATTGTATTTTGTCACAACACATAACTTTTAATTTGATGTTTAGTAGAATTGCATAGAATATTCTTCATTTCTGATATTACACAAGTCAAATGTCAAAGTATCCAATTGACTATTCGGCTCACAAACTGTAATCATTCAGCTTGTGGGTTGTTAAAACGGTTTGTTTTCCGATTCTGCAAAACAAAAATAAAACAAAATTATAGTACCTGTCACCATTTAATATGGTTAATTAAAAAATAAAAATGAAAACTTACATCCCTTCTAACGAGCAATCAGAAATCAGAAGTCCGTTCAAAATTAACGAAGGTAATAAAATAAAAAGTCATTTTTTTTTAAATTTGGTTTGGTGTTTATACTTACTCAAAAGGAAGAAAGTATTATTTATGGATATTGGATATGGATATTGAACATATACTCCACTTATTTGAAAAACTGAAAAATATGTATATTTAAAAAAAATCTGTAATCTGTAAGTATAGATATCTGTATCAAAATTTTAAGAAAAATCTGTATCATTACAGATAAATCTGTATATGGGCCATCATTGAGACGAAGACGAAAGCACCCACATCGACCAATAGGCAGCATGACTAGGCCGCCGTCATCAGGTCGGCATCGACCTGCACTGGTGTGGCCACAATTTGAAAAATAACCGGCCACCAGTTCAAAAACGGAAAGAGTTAAGAACTTTGTTATTTATATTTGATCCGTCCACTAGCGGTCCTACGTCAAGCCTCCGTTCGTAACCCTAGGCACAGACCCTTCTAATTTTTTAGTATTTCAACTACTGTCACATATAAACACAAAAATACTCTAATCTGAATTATTTCCGAAACTTATTTCCATGCTAGATTAACTTGCATGGATAACTAATTAACAACATCTAAAAAATTTTGCAAATTACTTTCATTTTATCAATTTTTTTTTTACAACGCTGCTTGAATCTGATAAATTTCGGCGAAGTCTTCATAACTATTGTTTGATTTTTTTTTACGTTCCACTACGCCATCAGAGTAGCGAACATTATACCTTTGCTTTAATATACTTTGAATAGATCCACCATCTTCTAGAATGCTTTCAAGATCTGGCAGTGGGTGTTAGATTAGATTAGATTAGGTTGGAGTTTTTTTTGTTAATTACTTTATTTGTACAGGCTCAATCGAATAAACTTTACAGAGCCAAGTTATCATTTTCATTATACATTATAAATGTCTTAGATCTAAAATTAAAGTCTTCTCGAGGTTAGTGAGCATTTGGCTAAACTTTTTATTTAGATTTCTACCAGCTGCAATAGGAGCTTGCTGAACAATGAATATTATTAAATTGTTGGTTTTCGATGATGGATAACAAAATACGAATACAGCTCATTTCCCCCACACGTGCTGAAACGTTGGAGCGAGCCCGAAATGTATTGTTCTATTTCTGGGTATTTAAGGGTACGGTTCATGGAATATCTTCATATCACGTTTTCACTGGCACCCATCTCGCCATCCAGAAGTCATAAAGATCTGAAAATTAATAATGAGGCTTGCTTCTCGTTTTAGATGAATGTTGAACTGTTTGTACATAGGAGCAATTAGCTTCAGTCTTTTAGGATATTAAGGGCGCATTTTGATTCAGTTTCCATAGACATACTGTCAGATTACCCGGTATTTGAAATTATTTCTTGTATAATTTGCTGTCAGAAAAACAAATGACCTTCAATCTAAGTCAACTGACAACTTCTTGAATAAGCTACATGGACTTACCCCAAGGTTCATGTTGAAGTCCCTTACTTTATAATTTCTATGTCAAAGATTAGACAGCTTGCAGACGATGCCTTGGTTTCTCTGAAAGGTCCTAGAGCGTAAATCTTGCAAAGACCATTGCAAAATTAACTAGATAATTTATCCTTCTGGGTCAGAAATTTGGAGATCGAGGTTTCACCGCAAACAACTGAATTGGTAGTGTTTACAAGGAAGTGGTTTTCAGTTCAACCGCGTCTAAATCTTTTGAGTAGAGACATTACCCAATCTGTGACCTTCAAATACCTTGGAGTCTGGTTTGATTCAAAATGCACTTGGGGTACCCACATTACGTATTTGAAACAAAAGTGTCAACCAAGGATCAATTTTCTACGATCAATCCGGAACACACACTGAAGACCTCATTAAACTATATAAAACGACTATTCAGTTCTTGAGTATGGCTCTTTTTGCTTCCTCTCGACAAGAAAAAGCCACCTAATTAAATTGGAATGTATTCAATATCGTTGTTTGCGTATTGCCCTTGACTGTAAGCATTCAACACACAATATGCGCCCAGAGGTTCTATCGGGCGTAAAACCTCTACAGAACCGTTTCTGGGAGCTTTCATTAAGAGTATTGATCAAATGTAGTGTCAGTATCAACCTTGTGATTGAAAACTTCGAAGAAATGCTCGAATTGAGCACCCAGTCTAGATTCGTGCGAATCTACTTTATTTCCCCGGTTCATGAGTTGATGAGTCGATAGGTAGAGTTCAGCTGTGGGAGCTCCCTCCTTGGCGTCGGTAGCATTGGTGCTCAGCACGGAAAGTAAGATTGATTGAAAACAAATCAAGGAAAAAAAATCTACCTTAATTATATGGCATCGGATATTAGCCTTCCGTGCTGTAACCTTCCTCGTGTACGCTTTACTAACTAAAGTTCTCCATATGATCTCTCCATGAAACAGGCTATTCAAGGAGTTGCAGATCAACTTTGACCTATCTCAATTCTCCGTATTTTTGCTGAAAAGTACCAACAAGTCAATTGCAATAGAAGATTTTTCACTGATGGATCAACTCAACCGCCTTCTGGAAACTTCAGGAACCTTGTTCCGTTTATGTTACTGAGCTAGCATCAATCAACTTTGCATTGGGGATGATTTCTGACATGCCCACAGACCATTACTTAATCTTCTCGGATTCGGATAGTCTCAGTTCGATTGAGGTTTTTTTTTTCCTTTATTATAGAGATTTTTAGCCATATGACTAGTTCATCTCTTAAGCTGGGTTTATACAGGGCAAGTCAATTGATCAAGTCAGTTGAATTCAACTGACTTGAACGTGAATTGAACGTGTAAACCATGCCATTCAACTGAATTGATCAACTCACTTGAATTGAAAAAAGATGAACCAGGCTCAACTTTTCAAGCCAATTGAATTCAACTGAGTTGATCATTTGACTTGCCTAGTCTAAACCCAGCTTTAAGATTAAAAAATTGAGAAAAAAAAATTGGGTTCTCAGAAGGAGATTCCCAATCTTGGCTGTGGTACATTTATCTTGTTATAATGAAAAGGTGTAGAAAACTGCCAAAAGGGCCAACAAAACGGAAATACAAACAAGGAACACTCAGATATTGTGGTAAAGGTTCGCCTACTTTAGGAAGGTGATGAGTGCGGCTACTGCGGGGGCCTCGTCGCCCAACAGGTTCCGAATGCTGTTTGACTCCAAGCCAAAGGCAGCCCGAAGGTCTTCCAACTCCGCGCAGTTCACGAGGATGTGCTCCACGGTGGCTGGCCTCCGCAGGTTTCGCAGACTCTGCTGTGCCCGGTGCGCAGCCTTGACACCACTCGCTGTTCTCGTAGGTTTGGTCGATTCTTCCAGGTTCCGGTGGTCGCCTTATTCTTCCAAAGATGGTTTGTCCTGTTGTTCCTCCACTCGGTGTCCCAGGCTCTCCGAATCGTCCGCTTGATCAACTTTTTGACATCTTGGAGCGGTACATTGCCGGTGGACCTGGGTCCGGTGTGGCCTGAGCCGGCGAGGTGGTCGGCTATTAGGTTCCCTTGGATCCCGCAGTGACCGGGTACCCACATAAATACTGTGTTGGGCGGCGCGTCCTTTACCGTCCCATGGATCCACGGATGCTTCGGTGTTTCTGTTGTTAAGGCCAATATAACGCTGTGTGAATCAGTTACGACTAATATCGGCCGGTTGGCCGGTAGCTTAACCGCGTGGAGAATGGCCGCTGCCTCAGCTGAGAACACCGAGCATTGGGTCGGGAGCGATCTGCTCACAAGCAGACCATCTCCGGAGACCCCCATTCCCACTCCGCTCCTGGAGAGAGAGAGAGCTGTCGGTGTACCTAACTTCATAGCCTTGGTAGTGCGCCCCCAGAGTTTCGAAAAACTATCCGGCGTAAAGCCAGCGAGTTGTCTCCTGCCCTGAAGTGGTCCTTGATTCGGCTGTCAATTTTAATCTTGTGCGATTGCCAACTTTTGTCTCCGTGCCAGTGGACCCTGGCCACTGGAGGGAGATCTACGTCGGCGGTCGTGAGGAGGAGTCGGTTCGCCTCGTCGAGGAGAACGATCCTGTTGTTTCCCGACGTTTTAGCGAGAAAGGCAGCGGCTTTGGTAGCAGTAGCTGCGGTGAAAACGAGTCGAAAATGTAGGATACCGGCTTCAACGCAAGCAGCGTCAGCCGGGGTAAAGGGCAGGAGACCGGAGACTGTTCGAACGTAGCCGTTGTGCACCGGTTCCATAATCTGGACGGCTTTCTCAGCGGCAAGGCATGTAATCTCTACACCGTACAGTAGGCTACTGTCGATGATGGCTCTAGCAACGCGGAAGCGGATTTCGCGATTGTTGGATCGGTAAGGGAGGGAGATGGTCTTAATCAGGTTGGACCGGCTGCGACAGTCCTGATTGTCAGTCCTGACAGATTGAGGCAATTCGGTTGATGATCTCGATAATCATAATCGGAAAGGGAGCAGATGAGTTTGCTGGTCGAAAGATCATATAGGATTACCTTTGTATGGGTAATGCTTAATCCCAGGCAATGAGAAGGCAGACTCTCTCGCAAAGGTGGGCTCACAACAAGGCGAGATTTATGATAGAAGAATTTCACATGATGAATTTTTCCCATTAGTGCGTCACAGTTCTCTTCTAAGTTGGCAAAACGATTGGACAAATAATTCTCTTGGGCGGTGGTTACATTCCATTACTGCAAATGTTTCTTCGAGAGCGTCTGGATGTAAGTCGGGGATTCATTTGCGTGATGTCAAGACTTATGTCCAACCACTACTCGCTGGACTCACATCTCTACAGAATAAACCCCGTTGGCAGCAATATATGTAGGTGCAGAACCGGTTATGATGACATCGATCACGCAGTTTGGCATTGCCCGGATAATGACGCCTTCAGAGCACGACTATTAGATACCCTAGTGGCCCGAGGTAGACAACCCTTCCGTGAAGTAAGAGATGTATTGGGAACCCGTGATATTCCCTACATGCAGGCGATCTACGAATTCCCTTTTTTGTCTGATGTTAGAGTTTGATGTGACCATCCCCTCCTTTCCATATATTTTCCAGCCATTGTGTCCCAGTCTTATTATCCACCTGTTTCTGTGGTACTTGTCCCTGCCCAGCCAGCATTTGGCCAACCGTTCGAAAGTAGTATCTGAAGGTGGTTTCAGAAACCTGAAACCTAGCTCCTTCCAATCGAAATAGTTACCCATTAATCTCGAGCCACGAGTAATTGGTACCCAATACTAACCTATATTACTGCTGTTTAAAATGTAAATTCAAAAATTGCGGATTTTTGGCTCCGCAAACTGTCATACACGACTGAGCCTAGTAAATAAACGAACTAGTTTAAAAAAAAATTTGTACATCAAGTAGATCACCAGATGTGGGCCCATCAAAATTCGAAGTGGTAAAGCAAATTGTATGGATAAAGGATCTCGTCAAGTTAAGGACGCCTTAACTAGTAAGCCGTTTAGATATTGAACTAGTCATCCTTATCTCGACTATCCCAATACCATTCTCGTTTCTGTACCGCGTAACAGTAATCCAATCGCTTTGTAATGAATGCGTCATTGAACAACGGAAAGAACAGCGAGCATTCGACGTAATGTGCACCACTTTGCTGGTGTTGGTTTGAAAGCTCCACACAGCGAAACTAATGACGACACTCACTGCCGTGCCGACGACGACGACCCTTCACTTTAGTCCACCCCTTCTTCTCCTTGCTACAGACGAGAGATTGAATTCATACATTCGAAACACAGAGCCATGGGAAGGAAAAACCTTGCTTCCTATGTGTATGCATTTCGAGTCTTATGCTGGTGAGAATCATACATTGCGCTCACCTCTCAATTGCCTTTTTGTATTGTTTCTCTCTTCCCGTCTGCAGCACGCACTTTACTTATGCTCCTCGTTTTTCGCAGCAAACAGTCCACCGTTTCGATGGTGGTGGTGTTGGTGGTGGTAGTGGTGGTGGTACCAGACAATGTGTGCGGATCGATCCTTTTACCACCCCCCTTCCTCCAGTGTCACGTCCGTGGCTACATTTTGTGTGGTTCACTACCCTCTGCTCGCTCGCGTCCGGACGATCGATTGTACGCAACCATAGCCGGGGCGACCGAAGGCACATTTTCCCATTCCCTTTAATCACTCATATCCTCTCCGCATCCTCGTCGTCAAGTGATTCGGTCGGTCGGTCGGAGCATAAATTCGAGCATAGCGAGGAGAAAGAGCGACGAGTTTTTCGTCATCGTTGATGGTTGATTGCTCGTCGTCGTCGTCGTCGTCGTCGTCGTCGTCGTCGGTCGCAGAATTCGACATCGGCAACGTAGCATTTTATGTGTGATGTTTTTTGTGAGTTTCAGCTCCTTTGACTCATGGCGACGGCCACGCCGTTTCCTCTACCTATTGAAGCATACAATACATTTACCACCACATCGTGCGTCTATGGGTGTGTGAGGTTCGCATTTTGTTTTGTGAGCCATTGTTATGCTCCTTGCGCTCGCTCGCTCCTTGTGACGATGCCGTATGCAGCGTTGTCAGATCGATCAGACTGTTCAGGGTTCGATGGTGTGGTGACTGGGAGGGATAAATGGGTGATGGAGGTGGTGGTGGTGGTTTTTCGGTGAGGACGCAGCCCGCGCCGGGGTGCATGAATGAGTTTACGGCCCGCTTGGGATCGAGGACCCTGACCGGCTCGCAAATTACACACCTGATTTGGTTTCGTGATTATTGGCGACATGTGTAGGTTTGATTCGTTTGTGCTTTTTTTTCTTCTTCTGTGGAATTGAACCTCTCGAAATGAATATTGCACTGGTTGAGGGAGCACTTTGTTTGTTGTCTGAAATTGAATTTCATTAATGTTTCAAGAATTGATTCATGAAATGATTGAAGCCATAGAAAATGCAAAAAAAAGTCATACAATGTAGCTTAGTTGGCATAAAGAAACATTGTCGAATACACCACATCCCTCACAAGCTTCATTCGTTATATAGCAAGATTGAGTGCCATTTATTTGGGTGAGTTGCGAACTTAATTGACTGAATTATAAGAAGAACTTCATTGATACAAACATCATTGTAACTAAAGAACTAACCCAATGAGGAGTAAGTTTGTTAATTTTTTTTTTTTTTTTTTTTTTTTTTTTTTTAACTCTATTTGTTTCAAATTCAAAATAAATTACATTTCATTTTAACCTAGGTGCTCCAGTTACTGCAGTAACTTACCAGCCTTAATTGTTATGATATATATCTAAGTGTTTTTACATTGTTCATGTCTTGGCAATTCAGTATTTTAAACAGGTTTTTTAACCTGCATGTCAGTATAACAATTGATATCTTAAAACTAAACACTAAAACTAAATCTTATCTAAGTATAAAGGGAATTAATCGTTGCAATTGAGGATTGCAACGATTTTTGCCTGAAATTATTAATTATTTTGTTGGACATTTGTGCTAAAGTCTCAACATTCGAAATTCTATGCACTTCGGTTGTACTGTACCAGGGAGGCAACTTCAAAATCATTTTCAGAATTTTGTTCTGAATCCTTTGAAGTGCTTTTTTCCTGGTAGTGCAGCAACTAGACCATATTGGTACAGCGTAAAGCATGGCCGGTCTAAAAACTTGTTTAAATATTAGAAGTTTATTCGTCAGGCAAAGTTTGGATTTCCTGTTTATAAGAGGATACAAACATTTAATATATTTGTTACATTTGGCTTGAATGCCCTCAATGTGATCTTTAAAAGTTAATTTTTGGTCAAGTATTAATCCAAGATATTTCACTTGGTTTGACCAGGAAATTGGAACTCCGTTCATAGTGACTATGTGACTACTACTAGGTTTCAAAAACGAAGCTCTAGGCTTATGTGGAAATATTATAAGTTGAGTTTTGGAAGCGTTGGGAGAAATCTTCCATTTTTGTAAATAAGAAGAGAAAATATCTAAACTTTTCTGCAGTCTGCTGCAAATAACACGAAGACTTCTTCCTTTAGCGGAAATGCCTGTGTCATCAGCGAACAAAGATTTGTGGCAACCCTGAGGCAAATCAGGGAGGTCCGAAGTGAAAATGTTATACAATATAGGCCCAAGAATGCTACCCTGAGGAACTCCTGCCCTAACAGGTAGTCGATTAGATTTGGAATTTTGATAATTTACTTGAAGAGTTCTGTCAGTTAAATAATTTTGAACTAATTTCATAATATAAAGTGGAAAATTAAACTTTTTCAATTTAGCAATCAAACCTTCATGCCAAACACTGTCGAATGCTTTTTCTATGTCTAGAAGAGCAACTCCAGTTGAGTGGCCTTCAGATTTGTTTGAACGAATTAAATTGTTAACTCTTAAGAGTTGATGAGTAGTTGAATGCCCATGGCGAAATCCAAACTGCTCATCTGCAAAAATTGAGTTCGTATTGATGTGAAGCATCATTCTATTCAAAATTATCTTTTCAAAAAGTTTACTTATTGAAGAAAGCAAACTTATTGGACGGTAGCTAGAAGCTTCAGCTGGATTTTTATCCGGCTTCAAAATTGGAACAACTTTTGCATTTTTCCATTTATCAGGAAAGTATGCCAAATGGAAACATCTGTTAAATAATTTTACCAAGAAAGACAAGGTACTCTCTGGGAGTTTTTTGATGAGGATATAGAAAATTCCATCATCACCTGGAGCTTTCATATTTTGAAATTTTTTAGTTATAGACCTTACTTCATCCAAATCAGTCCCCCAGGAATCATCAAAAATATTTTCCCGAGAGAAAATATTCAGAAAATCCCGAGCAACCTGATTCTCAATAGGACT